ACTACTACCACTACTACTACTATACTACTACTACTACTGCTACTACTACTACTACTACCACGAGAAAGAAGCATCATTGCAACAAGGGGTTCGGGCGGAAGCCACCTTGCTATGCCGACCCTCGGCAAGAACCTTTTCATGCTTGCGGAACTGCACGATGACAGGACAACACAACATCTTGTACATGTACATATCATGCCTTGCAGAGGCTCCGGACCCCCCCCAAGACCCGACTCGGAAGTCGCAAACAAGACGCAGCAGCCATGAAGCCTCTGACAATTCTTCATATTGAAGAACCGGAAACATAGCAATGCTGCAACACTGTCGGAGGCGTCCGGGAAGTACCATATGCAGCTGAAAACACCGTGAACATGAGGCGCAAGCTTTCCACTCTGAAACCTGTTCAAAGGGATGACAAACCCTAGGCCCTAGAAGGGAGGGGCAAGTAACGGACCGCAAACCCCGAAAGCAGGAGGAGGGGGCAACGACTAAACCGCAAATCGAAAGGGGTTTAACTATCGCACGAACGAGGGTCCGCGAAACCCGAACTTTCCAACCTCGCGAGGGCTGGGGAGTAGAATACAAGACGTCGCAAAGGTGGTGACATGGGGTCAAACCCGAAACCAAAAAAGTAATGAGGGGTGGTAGCTAAACAGTTAAACCCTAAACTTACCTCAACAGCAGTAGGGAATGGCAAGCTCTTAATCCTGGAACGTCTCAAACGAGTGGGTAGTTGGACCTTGACGGAAGTGCTGAGCTGCAAACCCTGAAACTGCCCAAAAACCAACAGAAGGTCCGAGGTGGCAGACCACCACAGATTAAAGCGATAGGGTGGCAAACCGCCGTGCAGTTTAACAAACAGTGAAACGCATGCCCGAGTTTCAAGCATTCTGGAGTGGGAACTCCCTGGACATCTTCAAATCGTCGTGGCGAAGGGCACAAAGTAAGGCAAGAAACGAAAACCAGGGCTACCGAGGCAAACTCTCCAATTGAAAGAAACAAGCATCGCGGGGGGTTGGGCAAAGCCTGGATGTTGGACGGACAACGCCACCCTGAAGGGAGCCGAACCAGCAGAGGAATGCTGGAGCAGCGAGTCTTAGATCCGGCGGGGGAATCGCGGCTGGGAGCCTTGCCTTGCAGCACCAGGTACGAAGACCACCAACTCTGCACCAAACCTCACCCACCAACATCAAGACCACGAGCACTCGCTTGCTGTCTGTTCTGCGGCGCTTGTTCACCTACCAATATTGCATAATACATTATCATATATTATCATACTATATTGTATAATACATAATGTATATTCACATATTCATTCTATTACAGTCAGCTCTCTGCCGTCGCTGTCCCGAGGCGGTTTCCATGTTGTGTGGGACTACACCACCAACGTCCTGAACCGATGTTGGTCGCCTTCCTCGGCTGTGGAGTCTTGCAAGCAGGATTACAAACTCCGTCGATGAAGTTCGAACTCACCGCTGCTAACTGACATTCCAAGAGTCACTGAGGCCTTCAGGGAAGGAAAGCTGCAAGATTGATGGGCATGGGCCGGGCAGGCGCATGTAGTAGTTGCAAGCCTTGGCTGATGACTTAGGCTACATTTTTCGACGAGGGCTGCCTTCCACAGCTTCTAAGTCTTCTCCTGTAAAACTGCAACCGCACTGACTTCCCATGCAGGCATTTGGTCAGTCACACTCCGAGAGAGTCACACGGACTTCCGCGTCGCTTCACTATGCGCACACACCGCTTCGTCGAGATCACTCCGGACACGTCAGCCGCCGAGGCGCGGCTGTGCTCTCCGGTTGGACATATGCCGGATCCTGTACCAAGACTCAAGACAGCTTCATACAGAGGCCGTGACTTCCGAGGAACCGAAAACGTGTGGCTGCACTAGGTGCTCTCCTGAAGAACTGGAGGCGCTGACATATTGCACCTTTCGAAGGGCGTGTAGAGCTCTTCGTCGCTGGAGACACTCTCCTCAGGTACATTCAGGAACCTCGGTACGGGAGCAGGACAGCCGATCAGACTTCGTCTGGTCACGTGGGAACGCGTGGAAGCAGTGCGATCGAGGTTCGTGTTCTTCACGGTGCATGGCGGATGCAGCTGCACCTTGAACATGGAAGGGTACTCGAAAGTCTTGGAGATCAAGCTATCAGGGGACGGACTCACGGACTCATGCGAACCGGCCTGGAAGTTCTGGAATTGTATCGGCTGTATCGGGTTCATGGCAAGCCGGGCGCAAGAAACCAGGAACAGCACTGTCCGGCAGAGACGGGCCAAGTGCCCACAATCTGGCTTCTACGTGCAGTGACCTTCTGTATATGTGGACCATCCGCACAAGTCAACCCAATGGGAAAAACTCATGTGAGAAGCTTGCCCAATGGCGCCACACTGGAACTGGAACAGGTGCGAACAGTGCAGTGAGCCCAATGCTGCAAACAGCAGGAATGCTCAAATACAAAGTCAAGACCTATCAACTTCAATGACAAATCAGCAAGCATTCCTGGACACACTTAGAGAGCGGGCAAGCTTTTGTCCCCTTGTTCCGTAGCATCTAAACGCCCTGCCCGAGACAGTAGCGCAGTAGCGAGTGTGTAGTCCTCACCGACGGCGGCGATCACGGCTCCTGCCTCAGAAAAGGAGTCTCAGTCCCAGAACAGTCTGTGCTCCGACTCCGTCTCCTTTTTAATGAGCTCTACGCTTCGACGCCGGCGGTCCCGGCTCCGACTGCGGTCGCCCCGTGCTTTCATGCCTGCAATGCGGTGCAACATAGCCGCGAGTTTCAGCAGCCAAGAACGCTTGCACTTGACGCTGGAGAGGCAGCGCCTGTTAGAAAATCACGGCTCGTCCTCACGGCTTGATGCAGGCGCGCACATAAAGCGTTGCTGCCGCGCTTGCGGACGCTTGCCCTATCGTTGCAGGCACGGCTCATCTCCATGACGCTCTCACGCGGCTTCATGGGTTCAGCTGCCGGCCTCATTGCACGGACAGACATCGACAAACAGAATCAAGAAACGCGCTGCGGAGCCTTGGTCGGTCCGGCTTCCAATCGCCCTGTAGGATCATGCCATCCAGCACGATTTCCCCCTTCCTACCGATCGATCTGGAGGGCGGGGGGCCATCACAAGGATCCAACTGCTCACTGAAGCATCTCTCGGGTCCTCAGTGCTTCATGCGCAGCCTGAGCCACTTCGCCGGTGACATAACGCACGACAGGCTTGTCCACGCCACGCTGCCCCATGTGACAACCCATCACCTGCCACCGGGCCAGCTCCGCACAAGCGCGTCTGCACGACGGGGTCTGCGCCGAGCGGGAACCCAGCCTCGCCATACCTCTCCATCGCCTTCTTCAGGCTCAGCCTGAAGAAAAAAGAGGGGCAACCAGAGGGCAACCGTCCAGACTGGAAAGCCGACAGCATAAGCGGCCATAAGCCTGCTCGTCCACTCCGTCGTGCCACCGGTTATCTCTATGGCAGTCCTCTCCATGACCTGCTGTTTGCGACCCACGCCGATCCTCCCCGGATCCCGTGCACCAAATGCACCAACCGCATGCCCCGGGGGTTTTCCGAAGGCGCCCCTTGCCTTCACGTCTCTTCCATGGAGGGCAAAGCAGCTAAACCAACCAATTCGTTATGCCAATCTCTGATAGTGTCTGGTAGAGTGTGCCTCTGCCTATGACGGCATTCGACTGCTATATCTACTTAGAAGACCAGTAGGGAGGAAGTGTACGCAAAGCGACACTGATGTCTCCAGCAGGATACGTGTCGAAGTATTCATGAATCCGGGCTGAAGATTTGCTACATTCCATACGTTCCGTGCGCTGTCATCCTACATCCATTCTGCTGCTCACTACGAGCCGAGTTCATGGTGCTGGCATCGCTGCTACCTCGGATCCTCGCCTGCAACCGAAAGTCTAGGGAGATCGAAGTCTGGATACCCTTGGGGGGGCTGCAGGATGCTTCCCACATCTTCAGCATGGTTCGGGGCTGGTTTCCGGACATCTTGTGTTGGCACCTGCATCCTGGAGCCGACTTTTGCACAAACCTGTGTGCCTAAACACGTGTCACATGACCTCATGCGTTTCAGATGTAGATGTATGTCAGGGCGGAGGGTGAATCTCTCAGGATCTCCGATGAAAAGGGAATACAGCCTCCGGGCTTCGGCCTGTAGGTCCTTTGACCTGCCCGCATTTGACGCTCTGCAGTGTGTGTGGTTGAGCCTCCCGCAAGTGCGTTTGATGCTTCCTCATTCCTACTAGGAGACGGGAACCAGTGTTTTGAACCGGCGCTTCACAGCAAAGCTCAGGATGGCTGGCTTCCACCAGAATCTTCACAAACGGGACTGCTCAAAGGGTCCCAGAGCTTGAGCCAACGCTGGGCTGCTTAAGCGCGGTATCTCATTTCTTCGACAAGCCCACGAGGCTGTAGTACCTGCGCAACGCGAAGGAATGGAGAGTAACTTCGCTCGGGACGAAGCTGCGCGGCTTACGGAACCCCAGACGGAGTTGCAAAGGCCATCAGGACTCGGCCTGCGGAGGGGAGCTGACGTATGGTTGGTTGACAAGTGGTAAGCAAGCGTGCCTTCTCCAAGGGAAGCACCGGATACAGTGGAGACTTTCTGATTTAGCCACGGGAAGTCCTGCCAGCGATCATGAGACCAGACTGGTGCGTAGCTCAACACTCGGAGATGCTGAACAGCGTGGGAATCTCACCTCGCAATTCTGCAGCTTTTGCTCTGCACTCAGACCACAGATGTTGAGCACATTGGTGCCATCATCACCTTATAGAAGGCGACTGCTTTCGGGATGAGCAGCTCCATTGATTACATCTTGCATGTTCAAGCATGTTCAAGCTAAGGACTCCTGGGGCGCCGACCCTGGAAGTAGGTCATAGCGTAAGGATCAGACCTCTCGAGCCATTTGTGCTGTCAGACACCCTACTTCACATTCATGGTGATCCATCTTTGGCTCTGACGCCGAGTATGGCAGCGACAGCATGGACACATACGGCCTTAGCTCTTCAGAAGGCTGCACCCCGACTCCATGATCATGCAAGAAGAAGGGAACTTTCGGGGTGTCTCTTAGCGTCCGGCGAAAAGCCTTTTCCCAGAGACACAGGCACTTGGGCCACCTGACGAAGCCCAAGAAACCCCTTTCCGCTCTGGAATCTAAATGAGGCAGAAGGGGCCTGCATTCGATGAGTCTGTGGATGGATATTCAGCACAGCGATCTTGAGCTGCTGATTCCTTACAAGGCCGTCAGCTTCAAGTCAATCGCTCGCACTTCCAAGCTGCATCAACCCATGTAGCATCTTGTACGCAAAGCTGACACAACGACCCTGAACTTTGACTCACAGCCAGGCCACTTTCCATCCTGGTAAGCGTAAGCAACGGTGTTGGGCGCAATCAGGGAAACCCCCCTGGCCCAGATCTGACCCTCTGTCTCCAGGTTCACCTCTTGTCAAGGCCACAAAACAGCACTCCAGGACCCGCTTTCACTGAGGGCTTCGCCGGGTTTGGGTCGAAGACAAGGTCTTCCCCGACGAGCTCTCCATACATGGCCATTGCCTCACGCGCGGGGCTGGTGTTCAGAATTCGCAATGACCCACTTCTGTGCAGGCCTCCTGCTTGACAGGCTGCGGGCTCATCTCGTCGACGGCGGGGGAGGCTCGAGCAGCCTCGGCACTTCGGTCAGTGACCGTCAGTGAATTTCAGACCCATCCGCCGAGTCAGCTGCCAGCACGAAGCCGTTCTTGCTCACTTTCGTGGCCTCATCACTTCGGCTACGACATAAACACAAAACCCGTGATGGACAGCGACTGCTGATGCCTCCAGACGTGCGACAGCACTGTCGGTGAATCGGAAGTTGCCTGGAGCACCCAGGCACAAGCATGAGATCAGGACCTGCACAGCCGACTCGAGCCTAGCACGGAGACGTTGCCTGAGTTCGGATGATGAGGGTATGGTGGCTCGGATACTGCCCGAAGCATTTTCGTCGGGGCACCCGATTCTCCAACGTCAGCCAAGACGGAGTTTCCGAAGGACTCCGTGCGCGCGGGGTCAGGCCCCCGGGCCTCCGACCGCACGGACCGAAGGAATCATGGGCAGGGAGAGTCGCGCGGGATTTTGCTTCCAAGGAGATGCTGCCTTGTCTGAATAAAGGACGACGAAGCGATTCTTGTCAAATGCTTGGATGGACATCTTGTGAGCCTGCAGAAGCAGCTCGAATGCGACAGCGGTGAAGCAGGCCAAGCCGGGAAGCAGCATTGCTTCGGGCGGCCTGGCCATTGCAGAAGTCCATGGCTGGCCCCCATGTCAATGCCTGAGCTCAGGACGAAGACATGCTAAGACAGCCTCATGCACGAAACGCTGCACAAACTCACGACTCGGCTGACTCCGATTTTCACGCAGGCGGCAAAGGTCCCACCGTGAGACATTGGCGCCCCAGGCGGCCCTAGCATCTTTTGCCCTTTGTGCCACCTCGGCCACGCTTGTGGCCCCAGCCTCCTTTCTTGCGCCTGCACAAGGCGAAGCGGCAGAGGAAGCGGCAGGTCCTTCGGCGGACACGCTCAGCTGCCTTCCTCTGCATTCCAGAGTCTTCTGTCGATCACCATCCTCAGCGCGAGCAAGGCTACGGTGCCTGTCTACGCATTCTGCTGCCTACAGTCCAAGCTTCGGCATCTTCCGGCATGACCAGGTCATCTTCGAGCTTCTCTAGCTCAGGCGCTCTCCTGACCTCAAAAACAAGACAGGGACGGCTCAACCCAGATACCCGAACTTCGGACTTCGGGGGGAGTCACAGGCCCTGGCAAGGTGTAGTTGCGAAAGCTCACAGGGGAGAGAAAGACTCGGTACAAGCTTGACTTCCCCATGCTGGAGAAGTGGTGACACCTGTGCTACACACCATCTGCACAGGCTTCAAAGGCTTGCAGAAGTCATGGCTCAGGCGGTCAAGTCAAGGCACCGTCGACAACTCCACCTGCTTCCAAACGAGGCACCTGCTTCGAGCACAGTCCGCTTCAAGATACTGCGAGCGACAGAAAGCGACCGTCTCTTAGCACGTCTCTTAGCACAGCTTGCTGTCTGACTCGATGTCAGGATGTCACGATGTCACGATGTCACTCCTCGAGGCAAGCGGAGCAATGCGCCGTACGGCAGCCGCCATCAGCTTTGGGAGGCGAGGCGTGTCTGCCGACGCTTGATCGCAATGCTTGTTCGGGCTTGGTTTTCAGGGCCCTGAGTCACACTGATGTCGTGCTAGTCGCTGCGGTCCAACAGCTTGGAGTTGAAAAGGAAAAGAAGAAGAGTATTGCTGCCTGGAAGAGCGAGATCCTCAAGACAAAGCTACCCGCTGGGATCAAAGCCATTTCAGCGCCGCGGATACCCGATGCACCAAGCTTTGCAGCTCGGAGCCTGCACAGATACGGCGACAACACAACAACGACCAAAGGCAGGGAGATGTTAGACAAGGCTGCCTGCATGTTCCTGATTTCGCATTGTCCCGCCATGCGATAGCCAGGCTTTGGCCATCACTTCCAGCCACAACTGGCGAGAATGCCTGAGTTTTGACATAACCAACATCGTCTAGTACAAGGACAGCAGTGCATGGAAAGCCTGGAAACCCCAGAAGTCGTAAACCACAAGTAGGCCCTAAACCTAAACCCCTTAACCCCCTAAACCCCCAAGCCCCAAACNNGTGGGGCTGCTGCACCCGGTGCAGTGAAGAGCTCGAGGGGAGACAGCTCTACCGAGCCGGCCTCCACCAAGAACAAGGGCCCATCTCCAAACAAAGCACATGATAAGATAGACGAAACTCCGTATATTACATGTGTATATATGTGCATATTATGTGTATATATATATAT